GGCTGTTCACGGGCCGTTTCGGCAGAAACAGGATGAAATTCCATCGGGCTCCGGTTACCCCCTTTGAGATGACCCCAGAGATAATGGGAATGAAAGGAAAATACTAAAGGCCAGGGCCAGGCTGGGAGCTCCGGGGGCCGGAGCCAGGCTCTCCAGGGACGCGGCGGTGGCTTCGTGCTCACTTTGACTATAAATGGTAAAAAGCAGGGCTGGCCGTGACTCACTCGTTCCTGCCGGGCTCCCACGTGGCCGGAGTGGGGGAGAATCCCACAGATGGGGAACGTGACCCCAAGGCCACCCTTGTCTCTTGCCACGGTTGAGAACAGCCGTGTCCCTGAGGCCGCCTGACCTCCGGGAGCACGTCCCACCACTCTGGGAGGGCTCCTCCGGCCGAGCCGGGTTGCGGCACCGGGGCACTGAAAACAGCATCGGGGCTCCCCTGAGCCCCAGTTTTCAGGTCCCCTTTGATGAATTCTCCAGGATGGTCTTGGTGCAAACTGGGCCATGCATGGGTTTTGTGCAACATTCGTTTGCGTCAAGTTTCCACCATTTGACTGGATAAAGAGGTTCTGGGCAATGGGAAAAAAGTACTGGGGGGAAGATGATCCTTTTTTGCACACCAGGTTGGGTGTCTGAGCCACCCCCTGCCAAGTTGCTGGTTCTGGTGATGCCTCCCTCCGTGGCCAAGAGCTGATGTGTTATGAGTTGCCTGTCCTCAAGCCCCAGGGAGGGGGCTGCCGCATTCGGGCACTCCACCGAGTCGATGCAGCAGGGCAGGGATGCTCACCCCATCCCAGGCGCAACGCTAAACCCAGACTGGGTTCAAGAGGGGGACGGGGCGGAGAGGAGAAGGGACGTGGAGCCAGAAAAACATCATTCCGGGTTACGTTTCATTGCCATGGCAACTTCTTGGCAACCCTACAGAATCCGAGCTGCTGAGCACCAAATAAGGGAAGCGGTTGGGAGAAGGATGCTGGCTCCCCGCGGGAAGATGGGGTCCCCAGGTGCTTGGGGACAGGGGGAACGTGGAGCTTGGTGGCATTTTTCCCCTTCCTTGGCTTGGGGTGGACCCCCCCACTCCCTCCCGCGCGAGAAGGAGTGGGGTGGTCCGCCCCAAGCCCCATCCCACTCGCTCCCCTCCTTCCACCGTCTCCATCCCATCGCTCCCAGCTCCATGACACCAGAAAAAGACCTAAATTTTGCAAAAAAAACCAACCCAAGCAGGGATGCTCTGCTGCATCCGGCGCTCTCAAGCAACCTGCAAAAGCCGAAGAAGGATCATTCCTCTTGTTCTCCCGAATCGTGCCAATGCAGGCGGCAAGTCTGGGAAAGGACAGAGGATGCTGGGGAGAAAATCGGCATCAAATCCCTGTCTGGGAAATGGCTTCTTCTGAAATTGGCTGCTGTTCAGCTCATATTCCCGTGTGCCGGCGGAGAAAGCCTGATTTCTTTCTAAAGACGGCCGCCCGCTAATCCGACAGCGGATCGTGTCTGAGAGCCGCTCAGGGAGGGATGAACACCTTTGTGATTTAAAAAGACAGTAATATTTAAAACAATGGATATTTCTGCTTTTTCTCACTCCCATGTAGTTTTTCCTTGTCTGTCCTACAGCAGTTTGGCTGCAGCCAGACCCTCCTGGGGCATTTTCAGCTCCTTCCATCATTTTCCGTCTTCTCCCTGCAAAATCACTGGGGTGGGAGCAGTGCAGGCGAAGATGGGGATATCGCTCCAGCTGCAGATTTTTTTGGACAGGGGTTGTTAAGTGCAATCCTAGAGGTGTTTGCACCTTTGCTTTGCAAGCAGATTGCGGTCTTAGGGGAAAAAGGGCAGGTTTCTTTTGCAGCTTTTGCTGTGCTCCGGCAGAGCCGTGCAGGCAGCGGGAGGGACTGGGCTGGGAAGCGCAGCCAGGATTTGGGGCTGAAACCTGGGATTCGAGGCACTGCCCTCTGTTGCAGGACGGGTTTGCGCAGGGGTGCGGCAGGTTCGGGTAGGCAGAGCGTGCCCAGACACACTTAACGCAACCGGAGGCCGGTTTTGCCGATTTTGGAGCACGCTCCTTTTTGGAGCTGTTCGTACCGCTGAGCGGCAAAGAGTTAATTTCTCTGCTTGCTTATAGACTGCTTTTTCGCCCTCGTGTCTCTGTCTAATTAAATACGTATCTACAAATAATTACATGGGGGTGTGTGTAAGGAGTATATAAAAATACATATCCTGAGCCGGCGATTAGCCTTGGGCTTTCGGATCAATAATTGAGAGCGTGGTTGAGGCTGGAAGGGCCCTTGGAGATCATCTGGTCTGACCTGCTGCTCAAGCAGCATCCCCTGGAGCAGGATCCCGTGAACTCTGGATCATTTACCTCCAGCACTGCGTTCCTTTAGAGTGGAATTTCCAAGGGGATTTCTTTTTTTTTTTTTAAACTGAGGTCATTTGCTGCTTGGTGTGGCTGTGCACGGAGCCAGGACCCGCTCCCTGGGAGATGCCCCGGCAGCTCCAGTGCAGCCCTGCGAATGCCGATTGGGAGGTGCAGGGCTAAACCCACCAGTGGCTCTGCTGACGTGGGAGGGGAAACAGAGGGGATGCTCTTCACAGCCCCTGTCCCCAGCCCGTGGCTGCTGGCTCAGATGCTCCCACATTCCCCCTGCTCCATGGAAAGGGAACAAGCAGCTGGGAAACTTCCCGCAATCCAGAGACTTTGGAGGGAGGTTAATTGTCATTGATTTATCGGTGGCTTTAAGGAAAATAATCTGCTAATGCAGAAGCTTAATACGACGACAGCAAAACATCCGCTAACAAACCAAGCCGACCCTGCGGCGTGTGCCGAACCTGCGCTGCCCTGGCTGCGCCGCCGAGGCGGCATCATCCTCTGATGGGACTCCAGAGCCCTCGGTAGCTAGAGAAGCCTTTCAGATGATGCGTATTGTCTGCAAATAGCATGAAGCTCAATGCAATGTTGTATTTTCTTTTTAAAACAAGCAGCCCGTTAGGTAGGCAACGCACCCGGGAGGAGCACGGTGCCGGCTGGGTTTTGTTCTTTCTATCAGTGGGCTGTAGCAAACCAGCTGTGACAAACAAACAATGCAGCTGCTGGTGGCAGGGAATGAATTTTCTCCTCCATCCCATGCACTTTAGCTTGAGTTCTTATTTTTTTTGATAGTAGTTGTAACGCTGAGAAAATTCAGTCCTGGCAGATGGGACCCTGGAGAGAAGCCTGGTCTGTATTTGTGAAAGGCAGTGGCTGCCCACGAGGCAGCTCGCAGAGGCTCCAGGGATGCACAGAAGGACCAGGGACATGGAGAAGGACCAGGGACATGCAGAGGGAAACGGGGGGGATGCTGGTTTTATTTGCATCAGTTACGGAGCACGCGCTGTCACCCCAGACGGGGTTTTGGCAGAGCTGAGGGGATCATTTCCAGGTTCCCCGTGAGCCAGGACCTGACAGACCCATTTCTCCACGGGTCTGCGGCGTTGCACATGAATTCAGGGACAGAGCCCTACGTGTGTACGGGGCGGCTGTTGGGAAGAGCTGCTGTGCTGGAGCGTAAGCGGAGCCGCACAGGACCGGGGGGCGACACGGGGGGAAGAGCTGGGGCTGGGGCTGGGGTGCGTCACCCACCGATGACGTTTTAGGAATTACGTGTCGGTGGCCGCAGCGTCCTGCATGCTGTGCCAGGAGGGGCAGTTCCTATCCGAAAGCAAAGCCAGCGAGCCCCTCTGCTGCTGCAGAAGGTCTCCTTCATTTGTCAGCCTGCCTTTACTCTGAATCTTTTCCCAGCTGGATGCGTGGGGAGGTGCGGCTGGTTTCAGGACCCCTCCCCGGCGAGGGATAATGAGGGATGTTTCCTCTCTCGCTGCGAGAGCGGTGATGGCCCCTTTGGCTGAGGAAATCCTGACCTGTCCCCTCCGTCACACTGCTCTGGGACAAGGTTTCCACCTGTGAGCTTGTCTCTTTGGGAATGTGACGGTGGGACATGGCTGAGCAGCCCCGTCCCCGTCTCTGTCCCCATCCTGTCATGGCATGCGGTGTGGGCAGCACCCAAGCCGTGTGAGACCCATGCCTCCGGGGACAGCCCGGTGGGGACCCTGGGCGTGGAGCTGGCATGAACCCCTCTAACCCCACTGTCTCCCCTCTTCTCTTTAGGAGCCCGGTCCTGCTAAGATGGCTGTGACCAGCAGCAACATCCCCAGTGCAGAGAAGGTCCCTGCCACCAAGTCCACGCTTTGGCAGGAAGAAATGAGGGGCAAAGACCAAGTGGATGGGGCCAGCGGCATCAGCCCAGCACAGAGCCCGGTGCAAAGCCAGGCTGGGTCTGCCAGCTCCCTGAAGGATTCTGTACTGGACAGCAAGGAAGGTGAGGGACAGAGGTGCCAGCACTGGTGTGACGCTGCAGTGACGTGTTTCGGGCAGCTGAGCCAGCAAAAAAACACCATCAAGGGAAAAGTTTTCTGTGGGTTTGGTTCCCGGAGCATCCCAGTGAGGAGAGGGAGGCAGCCTCCATCCCTGCCGCATTGTGCGGGGACCTGAGCAAGACCCAACGAGCTGGAGTTCAGGAAGGAAAAAAATTGCATCACGTGCTGGAAAACCACACAGCATGGGACCCAGTCCTGCCCTGGCAGGGAGACAGGGCTGCCTGGCCTCACAGGTGGTGTTGCCCTTGTGCTGGGGGAAAAACGAGGGGGAAAATGCCTTTTCTAGCCCCTTCACGTCCCTGCCTGGGGCACTCGGAGGGTAGGGGGCCATGCTGCGCCCAGCCCTGCTGTCGGGGCTGCCAAAGCCGTGAGCGTGGCTTCCTCCTCTGGCCCCTGCGTCAGGGCACTGTTTACATTTGGTCTCCCCGATGAGGCCCTGGAAGGCGCCGGGGCCGCGGCATTGTTCTCCCTGGAACAATAGGGGCTGGGGACTCTTCCTGCCAGGGCTGCGGACAGGTCCCACGTGCTGCTGCCGTTTCCTTTATCTGCCCGCTCGGATGGGGGACGCTTTGTGCCTGCTCCCCGCTGCCAGGAGCGAGGTGTCCATCACTGTGCGCCCGTGGAGCTGTGGTCAGTGCTGGGCTGGGAAGGTCAGGGATGGAAATAAGTGCAGAGCAGTAACCACGGCTGTCCATTTCTTGGTTTGAAGGTGTAGATCTTTCATCTGTGCAAGCCCAACCCAAGGGTTGGACTGGCATCCCCAGCTCCCTGCAGATCATCCCACCGTCTCCATGGGTGTGAAGGGTGACCAAGGTGAAAAAGCTAAGGGTGCAAGAGGTGGCACAGCATGGGGCTGGGGCCTGGACCATCTCTGCTCTCGTTTCCTGCCCCTGTCCTGAGTAGAATCAGGGCAGTTTTTGTTAAAAGCAGAACTTGGACTTGAAACTAAGCGCGTTGACTTCTCTGTCCTTCAGACGAGAGCTCCATGAATGGAGACCGGATAGACTGTGGGCGGAAGACGCGTGTCGAGAGTGGGTACTTTTCCTTGGAGAAGACCAAGCAAGACTCGAAGCTGGATCAGCTGCCGCCCCCGCCGAGCCCACCCAGCCCCAGCACCCCGAACAACAGGTACAGTTATCCCAAATCGCCCTCGCAGGAGCATGCCCGGCCCTTTCCTTCCCCAGGTACCCGATCAGGCGACCGAATGATTCACAGCTTCTCTCTGAACTCCTTGGACTCGAAGAGCAGTTGCCCCATGCACAAGGACTCCGGCAGCAGAGATGTAGGAAGGGGAGCTGAAAAATCGGGGCGTCCCCTTTTTTTTAAAGCCAGCCGGCAGTACACCACCCTGGCCGACGTTCCCAAGGCCATTAGGATCAGTAATCGTGAGGCCTTCCAGGTGGAGAGGAAGCGGCTAGAGCGGAGAACCCGGGCCCGTAGCCCTGGGAGAGAAGAAGTGGCCCGG